TTGGGAAGGTACTATTAACACTTACATGTGTATGCTTGTTAAAGTTGCTCTAAAGGCCCTTGTATTATTATGGGCTATATAATAGTCCATGCTTTTTCAAAATTTACTTGTTAAAACAGCTGTAACTTAAAAAATTGAAGTCAGAATCAACTCAAACTTTCTACACAGCATAAGGACATCAATATGTATCAGAAAATGTAATAAAAATTGGGGGTGATTTTGGAGCCATTTTTTGGAAAAAAGCATGGGCTATAGTACAGGGTATTTTTCAAAATTTTGGCATTTTCTTAAAATGGCCGTAACTTGAAAAATTGAAGTCAGAATCAGCTCAAACTTTCTACACAGCATAAGGACATCAATATGTATCAGAAAATGTAATAAAAATTGGGGGTGATTTCGGAGCCATTTTTTGGAAAAAAGCATGGGCTATAGTACAGGGTACTTTTCAGAATTTTGGCATTTTCTTAAAACAGCTGTAACTTGAAAAATTGAAGTCAGAATCAGCTCAAACTTTCTACACAGCATAAGGACATCAATATGTATCAGAAAGTACATTAAAAATTTGGGGTGATTTCGGAGCCATTTTTTGAAAAAAACCATGGGTTATAGTACAGGGATTTTTCCAGAATTTTGGCATTTTTTAAAAACAGCTGTATGCTACACTGTAGGCAGTTAATGGAGGAATTATGTGAATTTCTGTATCGCTCGCCTACACCATCAAAAAATTGGAGAGATGAATCAATACTACAGTGAGCTCTCAATCAACATATGATATAATCATGTGATGTTGTTTTTAGATCGTTGCCCGAGTGTGCCATTAAAAGCCTAACCGATGTTAATTCTTGGAAATCTTTTTATAAGCAAGTGATATTATTTTTGCATTTTCGTATTATACAAATATACCACACCCATTAATTACAATGTCATTTTAGGTCGGATGACATCACATCAGCTATTTCTATTGTTCAAGGCATCAGTTACGGACAAAAACTGGTTGAATGCATTGTCAATGAGTTTATTTATTAATAGTTTTGATGATTGTAGGATCTCTTTGGTTCAGTCCAAGCGACTGCTCTTAGCTCGGGGTATTGCCTTGGGAGCTGCAACTGGCTAATGGAGACTAAATATTCAAAAGTGATCAATTATTACTCTTTTTTTCCTCTCCCTTCTTTCTTCTCTCCTCCCCTCTCTCCAATGTATTCTTCTCATTAGATTTCTCTCATTATTTATTGATGAACTCATTACATTAGATATACATGTACACGAACTCTCATTATTCATCAAATACTGACCCTTCACACTATAGATTGGTTATGTGTCTTCTTCCTCCACATTCACAACTCATCCCTGTCCAATGGAGAGACAGTCCCTCTTATCCTGTGATGCTCTCATTCTCTCATCTCTTACCAACGCTCCGTCAGCTAACCCTGACACAATGCTAGGAGAGCTATGCACTAAAATGGGTTAGTTAATAGGGAGGGGGAGCAGCTAATGATTGTAGTGCATTCATCCCATAGCAACAACACTGAGGGGAGGTGGGAACGTTCTTATACCATGCTATCCTACGGTAAGAGACAGAAAAAAATTATTTTGTACTTTAAAAGTTTGTTTAGTAGTTATTGTTAATAATTATATAAAAAATTTATAATTTTTAGTCATTTTTAATAATTATAATTGATAGGGTGTGGTTTATGATTTATTGGAGTGTCTCCATACGTTTCTCGATAATGCTGGCCTGGTTGGTGTCCCTGTCTACATGATATCGCCAGTTGCAAAGAACTCGCTGTCACTTGCTAATATATACGCCGAGTGGTGGGTTTGGTCGTGGGCGGAGTAACTTACTAGCAAGTTTTTTATTTTAAGGCTGTGCGAAGCAAAACAGTCAAAAGTTTACCAGCCAGAGCATCCTTTCCCTCACGCTGAAGTATTCAAATTAATTAATAATTAAAATTATTTAAGAAATTAATTATAAAAATTTAATTATTTTAGTTTTATTAGTTTTATTTTGCATCTTTTTTTCCAGTTCATTAAGAGCGGACGTTTAAAGCATTTTCCAAACATTTATGGTACATGTTTTTTAAAACGATGGTCCTTTATATTCTTATTACTAGGGGACCTGGGCAATGTGTACCAGACCCCTTGCGTGGTTTTTGCTGGCCATCCTTCCCTCAGGTGTGGGGATGCTGTACATTTCATGGAAGTATGGGGATCCTCTTCAAAGAACTCAGTTATATTTACTGGTGAGGAGAGAGAGAGAGAGAGAGAGAGAGGAGTTAATTGTAATAGCAAAATTTTTATTTTTAAAGATTTTAAATTTTGCAAATGTTAACTTTTCTTATTATTATTATCTATGAAAATTGATCTCTCAAACTTTTAAAGTTTTTTTTTTTAATTTCATACAGAGCCTGGTTTTGATTATCTTCATGCTTTGACTCCATACCAACCTCTCAATATGAAAGTGAAGACCAGCAACTTTTATTGTAACCAACTCTTATCTACTCTCTTATCTCACTCTTAGGCTTTCTATTTCCCGATCGATCCTTGTATGAATTTCTTTGTCGCAAACAAACTTCTCAAGGAGCTACAGGTGAGCCTGGCCTGGTCTGTCAATCATTATTACTATTAATATTTATTATTTATTATTTGTGATATACGTTTTAGCCTCAAGTTCTTATCACTCCTACTGATTATCTTCCCTCGGCAGCTCAGACTCAAAAGGACACGACTTGTCTCCAGCCAGTGAGAGAGAGAGAGAAACCCTTTTTCATTTAGTTTTAATTTCCTTATTAGGAAATGCCCTTTTATGGTGTTAAGAGAGGATCAGTAGTTAAAGTGGAGCTGGCATCAAAATATAAGAAGATTGAAATGACCTCTGAAGTAAGATTGCTGGGGGCCGAATACATGCATCTACAATGCAAGTTATAAATTTATTGTCCTAAAGTAAAGTTTCTAGTCAGCCATATGCTAAAATTAAAATTTGGCCAATTTTTCATAAAATTTAAAATGTCAAGGTCACATTGCCCATATAACTTATGCTTTTATGTCACAATCGTAAACCTTTCATTTTATATGTAAAAGCATTCCGTATTTGTACGTGTACATACATGTATATGTATCTAATTTTTCTCCCTTTTCTTCCTCCAGTTA